TTATCTTTGGCAGATGTATTATGAATAAATGACTCAAAGCTTCAAAATGCAATTCATTAAACATGATTTAACTAAACTTTTTAAACACTAACTTACTTATTTTCCTTAGGAATTTTCCCAACTAATTTATGAAGCGAACAACCTCTACTTCCCCAAAATGTTATCTATCCAAACATGTTAAACTAGGCCCATTGTCACCTATTTCAGAATCACATGTTTAAAATGAGGATTCCTGGACAGAATAGAGAACCCAGAAATAAACCCATGACTATATGGTCAATTAATCTATGACAAAAGAAGCAAGAATATACAATGGGGTAGAGACGATCTCTTCAATGTTGGAAAAACTGGACAGATACATGCAAAAAAATGAAACTAGACCACTTTCTTACACCATATACCAGAATAAACTCAAAATGGATAAAAGGCTTAAATGTAAGAAGCAAAACCATAAACTTCTAGACAAAAACATAGGCAGTAAACTCTTTGAAATCACTCTTACTAATATTTTTTTGAATGCCTTCCCTTGGGCAAGGGAAACAAATGAAAAAATCAACTGGTGGGACTATATCAAACAAAGGAAACTATAAACAAAATGAAAAGAAAACCTAGTGAATGAGAGAAGATAATTTATCAGTGATACATCTGATAAGGGGATAATATCCAACTTATACAACTCAACACCAAAAAACAAAAAACAAAAAAAACTGATTAAAAAATGAGCAAGGACCTGAATAAATTTTTCTCCAAAGAGGACATACAGATGGCCAATAGACATGTGAAAGGATGCTCAAAATCACTAATCTTCAGAGAAATGCAAATTAAAACCACAATTAGGTATCACCTTACACTTGTCAGAATGGCTATCATTAATAAGTCAACAAACAACAAGTGTTGGGGAGGATGTAGAGAAAAGGGAACCCTAGTGTACTATCGATGGAATTGCAAATTGGTGCAGCCACTATGGAAAACAGTATGGATTTTCCTCAAAATATTAAAAGTAGAACTACCATATGACCCAGCAATTCTATCTATCTGGAGAAATCCAAAACACTAATTAGAATAGGTATATGCACCCTTATGCTCATTGCAGCATTATGTACAATAGCCAAGATATGGAGGCAACCTGGGTATCTATCAATGGATGCATAAAGAAGAGGTGGGACATATATACAATGAAATATTACTCAGCCACAAAAAAAATAATGAAATTTTACCATTTGCAACAACATGTATGGACCTAGAGGGTATTATGCTAAGTGAAATAAGTCAGAGAGAAGACAAATACCATATGATTTTACTTATATGTGGAATCTAAGAAACAAAATAAGCAAACGAAACAGAAACAAACTCACAGATACAGAGAACGAACTGATAGTTGCCAGACAGGAGGGGGCTTGAGCGGCTGGGTGAAAAAGGTAAAGAGATTAAGGAATACAAATTGGCAGTTATGAAATAGTCACAAGAATGTAAGGTACAGCAAGGGACTATAGTCAATAATATTGTAATGACTGTGTATGGTGTCAGGTGGGTACTAGACTTGTCAGGGGGATCACTTCATAAGTTATACAAATGTCTAACCGTTATGCTGTATACCTGAAACTAATACAATATTGAATGTCAACTGTAATTTAAAAAAAATTTTTTTTTAAAGCTAAAAGTGCAATCTTAGCAATATGCTAGAAAAAGTTAAGACAGAAGATTGTTTCAGACACTTTAAATACATGCAGCAATTTGCCTTAGTAGCTTTATATAAAAATATAAAATTTTAATATCCCAAATCTATATAAGGCTACTTTCATGATTTTGTAGATTACTATAATTAAACACTAATTCAGAGCCCTTTTCATCTTTCTAATATCCAATTCCAAATGCTTCCATTAGTTTTTTCTTCTCAGGGTCCTCTCTTTCACTCAA